GCGGGGGGCGCCCCGGGACTCCCCCTGCGGGCCGGGCGGAGGAAGAGGCGGAGGAGGAAGAAGAGGACGTGGACCCCTCTACCCAGAACACCTGGCCGCTCTGCTGCCACTTTTACAGAGGGAGGAGAGGACAGCCAGCGAGAGCCATGGGGGGCTGCGAAGTACGAGAATTTCTTTGGCAATTTGGTTTCTTTTTGCCGCTGATGACAGCTTGGCCGGGCTGCTGTAGTCACGTCTCCAACAACCAAGGTAAGGGACAGGGTCAGAAGCGGGCGGGGCAGAAGGAGGATGGTGCTGTGAGCGCTGGTGCACGGTTGGCCTGCTGAGGCTAACTTCGTCTGGGGTCAGCTTCTTGGGGCTCGCCCAGAAAGGGCAGAGAGTGTCCCTGCATAGAGCACCCTCTCTGCACCACCGGGACGGCGGCCCTCGGAGCTGTGTCCCCCTGTGCGTCCAGATTCCTTTGAGTGGGTACATGAGCCTTAGCCTCGGAGGCTAGGGGCCGCCAATCCCCGACCCCGACTGCGAGCAGCCTCCGCTGGAGGTCCGGCTGCTTGGCACAGACTTCATGGAGACTTCTCTGCCTCTTGGTGGTTGCATACAAGGTAAGATTTGGATTCTCCCCGCTCTAACTTGACCAGTTATCAGCGTCGTGCCTCCCGTAACTGTGACTCCTGGGTCCATTCTCAGCTCTCGAACCAAGTCTGCCATCTAAATCACAGAATATAGATTGCTTCGAAATTATTCCTAGACCAGACGCTCACAGGTCCGTGTTGTGATTCCTACTTCTTGCGAGTGGGAGGTAAATAGGTGTTGAGTGTGAATTTCCAAGTTGTGACTCTCCTATTCAAAAAGTCAGACTGCTGTCAGGTTTTGGAGGGCTTTGTGTTCCTTGGGTAAAGTGGTAAGGAAGTGCATGCAAGAAATGGAAAACGCTTAAAATCTTTAGGTATTTTCTTTCCTCCTAGTCAATCTTTACAAAACATATCACTTTGAGTTTCCGTTATGAGAATTTAAAGATCTACAAAAATATCATGTGTATATTCCTTAGACTAAGTAACGAACAACCATAAAAAGTTTTGCAGCATGTACGGGGCTGGATGCCCTCACTGTGCTGTGATGTCCGCCAGTGTACGTATCACCTGCTATGAGAGGTTTTCAAAAAGCTTCAAATATAAACACCTGGGGTCAGTCATAGTTGCCAATTAACATACAATTCATGTATTTCAGGGTCGAGTTAATTTGCAGATGTAAGGTCAGATGCCTTGAAATTCTATAGTACAGTGTTTGTATGAAAGGAAGAAAGCCGAGGGAAGGCAAGTAAAGTGGTACGGACTTTTTTTTCGGAAATATGTACGACCATGTAATTCTTCTAGTATTTTATATAGAACTCAGAATTACTGTTCATTTATACGATTGGTACTTTTGGCATGTTTTACTAATTATTGCTTTTCACCTGCAGACTTTATACAAAAAGATATGAATTTGGAATCCATAAATAGCCCCTATGATTTCAAAAATACATTCCATAATATGACAACTGTGGAGCCACATACTTTCTTCCATGTCCCTCTTTTGTTTTCAAGGACTTTTGGTAGTAATTGAAGAGGTAGCTTTTTACCTCAAAGAAAATAGAGAATTTTAAAAAATAATGTTATTTTTTAATTGACCTCTTTTATTGTGAGAGAAAACAATTTTTAATACTTGGAATATCATTGTCTATGGATACTCAAGAGATGTGTTTCTTGAGAATCAAGTTTGCTAAAAGTTCTTAACAGTTGTTACCATGCAACAATTTTTTCTAAACTTTTAGTACCTTTGAAGCTTCAACAACCACATAGGCCCTGGGTTTACTAATATAAATACAACATATACGTGAATCACCACATTACTAAAGTGCCATTTGTCAAAAAATGTCACACTAAAGTCTGTCTTATCAGATATTTAAATTAAATTTAGAGGCCAACTGATGTTATTTTGTAACTTCTTCGGATAGTTTTTATTTTCATAACTCCCTGCAGTTTAATATTTTACATAAAATAAATACCATACATATATTTTTTTAAAATAGTTTAAATTAATGTTGAATAAGAATTACACAGTTTTCCATAAGTTAAATAAGATTGTTAAATATTATCTATTAAAACATAATTTGTATCAATATACTGAACATATAGGTCATGCTTAATAATACACTTGGATAAAAAATAGCTGAAAGTTAAATTGTATGTTATTTGGGTTCTTCAAAACAAAATTGTAGAGAAAGAGCATGATCATATATTTTCATTAGTCACAAATGACTGTTTATGCAATTTATTTTTCTTTTGGTTTGTTTTTTGTTTGCACTACCTCCAGGGCCTTCACAATGAACTAATCTAAAATAGTTCTTTATAAAAGAGCTATTTATAAAAATAGTTTTATAAAAATCATTTATAAAAATCATTTTTGAGTTAGGGTCTCACTATAAAGTGCTTCTTACAACCTAAATTATAGTGATTAGAAATTGTACCTGATAAATGTAGTTAACTTTTAAATACTGAAGATATCACACAAATAGTTAAACACCATCCTATTAGTGTTATCCTTATGAACATTTTAGGGATATTTTTAAATTTGTAATTTCATGAATACTTAAGTCAAATAATTAATTTCTGTACATCTGAAACATGGGATATTACAAATTATATATCCATTGCGGAAAGATTAATGTCACATATAAGTTAAATATCTTTTGTATAAAATACATCATTATTTTCAAAAAGGCAGTTTTTGATAATCTTAGTAATTTTCGTTAATGTTTTATTTTTGAAATTGTTGTGGAGGATAAAGTTATATTTTTATTTATCTCCTTGATTAAGGACCCTGACAGATGTTTAATGTTATGCATCTACTTTTACCAAATTATGTAAATCTATGGCAAAAAGAACAGATTAGTTCCCTTCTCCCCTTCTTCTAATTCCAGCTTCTGTAGCTCAGGCAGGGTCAAATAATAACAATGAGAAGAAATTGAATTACTTCAGTCTTCTAACATGATACTAAGAGCAATGTGACTATAGGAAGGACCTCTTGTCTTCCAGCTGACTGTAAAGCTGGGCATTGTAGAGTCAAAATAAATCAACTTTACTGTTACCCAAACCTCCCTGAATCAATCAGAAAGTAATAGTTCTTCTAATGGATCACTTCTAAGTGAAATCATGGTCTGTATTCATATCTCTTATTTTATTAATTTCCCCTATATTTAAAGACACAGTATTAAGTATTTGTTTGGTTGTTTTTTTTTTTGGTACCGGGGATTGAACTTGGGTCTTTGCACTTGCAAGGCAGGCCACCAAACCACTGAGCTAAATCCCCAGCCCAAGTATTTGTAATTTATTTAAAAATCAAATTTTATCTTCTCAAGATACATAACATTTCATTTCTGTACTGGGTTCTTGGGTAAATATAAAACAGTCTTGCTTCATGTGCAAGTTAACCATGCATATCAGTTACAATGGTTAGTAGCCACCAGGGTCCCATTTATTTAACGATTACTCGCTTTAGTAAAAACATATTTTATAGCTTAAATGAATTAACACATCTCTCAGAGTGTACTCATATATATGAAATAATGTCATGGATAATTCATTCAATCAAATGTTTTGGGTATGTAAATCACAATATATGTCAACAAAATCCTAGCAAGTCTCTTATTTGTACCCTTGATTCAATATTTTTTGAGAATAAATATGATGGATATATATATATATATAAATCCATATATATACATATATATAATCCATATATATCAGTAATCAAAATAATTTTAAATGGCTCAATGTAAATTATTAGTAATCTAAATTCATACAGAAATATTAAATTGCTGATACATCTACAGAAATCTATTAAATTTATGATTTCAGTAGACCTTGTTATTTCAATAGACTTCACGTTGAGAATATATTACATTTTCTCTTGCCTTATCTTTTGATGAGTATAAAATTTAGATGGAGAAAAAATGTAAGGCAGGCAGATGTGTTTTACATCCTATGAAACATGGCCAAGTAAATTAAAAATAAAATAAAATAAAATGGATGTTAATAATCTTTAGAAAGACTAGTGAAATCAGTGGGGTATTGTAATCAGAATGGGAGAATTGGAAATACATGTGCCTTTGGATCATATTTAAGTCTCATTTTCAGAGAAGAGAAAGAACTAAATATGAGGAGTAGGAAGAAGTCCTTTAAAGGTAGACAAAACTGCCTGCGCCATGGAGAAAGGAGCTTGACATATTTGAAGAATTTAATCCAATGGAATTGGAACTTGCCAGGCAAGGAAGAGAGTTTCAGAACATGAGGTTTGAAAGATAATAACCAATTTCTATGAAGTAGAAAAAAATACAAACACACACACACACACACACACACACACACACACACAGAAGTGTAGTTTTTGTATTACCCCAAGAAAAATGTGAATTGGGAGATTTTCACCAATGAGTAAAATGAGCCGTTTTAGATTTTAAGAATACTGTGACTAGTGAGAAAAGAGATGATCAGAAAATGGTGTGAGTAAATCAGAAATGGTGTGAGTAGGATGAAAAGTCCCTACTCTGGAGGTTGATCACTGTGGCTGTCAGTGGAAAGGGAGGTCAGGTAGACCTGAGCCTGAGCTACATGTTGTAGGTAAAATTTATAGTGTTATCTTGATTCTACAATGAAATTCAGTGGTACCTTTGTTCACAAACACTTATTTTCAGTTTGGTTCAAAACAGAAGTTTTCAGCAAATTTTGTTTTTATTTGAAGCTCTGCGTCAGGTGACATACATGATTGTGGCCATCTTTCTCATACGAACATAAACACAGCCGTCTTTTCTGAAACTAGAACAGAGCAAGTTCGTGAAGTGAGATACCCCTGTAAATGTAGAAATGAACATTCTTTTATTTTTCCTTTCAAGGATCTCAAATATTTCATTTCTATGACCTTGCTGTACAATTATTGACAATTGACAGGTGGTAAAAGAAATGGGGTAAGTAAAACTATGGGACAAATGTGGGAGGCTGCTTTCCCATTTTACTCAGTTAAGATTATAATTTAAAACATACTCCTAACAGTACAATTTTCTATTTCAAATAATTTTTAAAAATTTCCACCCATGTTGGATATGAAAATACAAATTTTCAGTGCTTTTGTGACCCTGTAGCTTTCCTTATGGAGTCATTGTTTGTCAGAGTGGATGACTGCACAGGTACATGGGGACATCTTCACAATGCAGT